CAGAGGGTTGCGCGGGCACCCGGCACATCGCACTCTCGCCTGCATTTCGCGCACTCCACACGCACGATCTCCGCAGAGGGTTGCGCGGGCACCCGGCACATCGCACTCTCACCTGCATTTCGCGCACTCGACACGCACGATCTCCGCAGAGGGTTGCACTTTCGGTTGACGCTGTTCGTCCCACCCTCCGCCTTTAAGAGAGAATTTATAAAGTGGGGAAATGTTTTTTCATTAGGACATCTCCCGTGCTAGTTCACTTGCCTACTCATTGCATGCTTGCATACTCATTGCATGCATACTCATACCCGTGCTTACACTTGCATACTTCCACTTGCATACTTTGACAGCTTTCGCTCTTCCACTTTCACAGGGCTACGTATAGCGTTCATGTTATTTATCCTGCCAGTGTGGTGAAAGTGTCAATGTCTAGGTGTGTCTGAGTGTAAGTGTCGAAGTGTCAGTGTTCAAATCAGTGTTCAAAGGATTTTCCGGAAGAACCCTTCGCAATGCTTTCGGGAAAAAGAAAAAGTCGAAGAAAGAAAAGAAGAAGAGGAAGAGACGCCGGACAGTTACCCTTTCCGATGGGCGGACCATCAGCTGTTCATCGGACTCCAGGAGCGACTCGGAGGAATCCCCTTCGACGGACGAAGGAGCAGAGTTGGAAGCACCTTTGAGGAAGAGGTCACAGAAACACCCGGGCTCGGTCCTGAACTTGTTGCTGGAGCATATTGCAGATCAACTTCAACAGTCCGCGGAGGTGGACACTCCAGCAGCTTTGAAGGGGGACTTGACCTCGGGAGTGAAGGTAGTGTCATACTTGGCCCTGACCATTCGCCCGCAGTTTGGACATCGACCCAAAGAACTACGGGAGATGCACAACCTCGCCACGAGCATCGACTTGTTGAGGCAGGGCCAGCTGGCCCGGCTCGGGGACGTGCTGGCCGGAAGGCTCATCGCCATACACCAGTGGCTTTTAGACGCTTCTTGGTCATCGGCAAGGCATCTCGAAGTCATGCCCATGCCCGAGGGCACCGCTCTAAGCGATGGAGTACTTTTGGCGGCCAGGAAGCACGGACGACAAGTCAGCCGAGCTCAGGATCCGACCCTGGGCTGGCGCCATGGAAGAAGAGTCAGGACTGGCACCATTACGAAAACGACGCAGAGACTTCGTGGTGGCAGCCAAAAGGAAGAGGAAAAGGCCAGAGAAAAGGGAAGTCGAAGAAAGACAAGGAGAAGGAGCCAGGAGACAAGCCAACGGAGAAGTAGAGAGTGAGGATGTTTCCCAAGGGCTGGTCACGACCGTGCCCACAGAGGCTGAAGATCAGACACCATGCTTGCATGCCGGCCTTGAAGTTTTCAACCGGGTGCTACAGTGCACGGCAACTTTAGGAGAGCTTGGTTGCGCACTTGGTTGGATGCTGGCAAGGATCACGTACAGAGGTGAGCTTGAATTTGACAAGATGGTCATGCGTACAGTGTTTGAGTGCTGCACGAGGCCACCGGTCGCTTCGATTGGCGGGGCGATCTTCCCTTTGCCCCTTGGGGCTCTTGATGCTTGTGAGGGCGCCTTGCGTGCCGCCTCACTGGAACATGTTGTGACGCCCGGTTTCGTGGAGCGCTGGCAGAACGACGCCTGGCGCCTATGCGCAACTGTGGGACTCAACTCCATGCGAGGACGGCTCCAGCCGCTGGCGATGAGCGCGTCGAACAAGATGCAAACTCGT